TAGAGTTATCCAGTATAAATAAAGTTAGTTTAGTTTAGGTTTCCTCCTGTAGTAACGCTGGATCAATAAGAGATTATCATTACTGGACCTCTAGGAAGAACAGTTTAGAACTGATAGAGCTATACAGTATAAATAAAGTTAGTTTAGTTTAGGTTTCCTCCTGTAGTAACACTGGATCAATAAGAGATGATCCTTACTGGACCTCTAGGAAGAACAGTTAAGAACTGATAGAGCTATCCAGCATAAATAAAGTTAGTTTAGTTTAGGTTTTCTCCTGTAGTAACACTGGATCAATAAGAGATGATCCTTACTGGACCTCTAGGAAGAACAGTTTAGAACTGATAGAGCTATCCAGTATAAATAAAGTTAGTTTAGTGTAGGTTTCCTCCTGTAGTAACACTGGATCAATTATTCAATAAGAGATGATCCTTACTGAACCTCCAGGAAGAACAGTTTAGAACTGATAGAGCTATTAAGGATAAATAACGTCAGTTTCGGATTTCCAATCGATACAATATTATAAATATATCATGTTCATTTCACTTACGCCATCACCGACGGAGGACATCGTGGACACCAAGGAACTAATAGAACCACTGCGGGATGTCCTGGACATTGTCCCTGTGTTCACCCCATGTGGGTATATACCAATCTCCTCCAACACTTTAGCTTGCTGAGTTAACACATTTTCTACTGATGTCCGCAGACCCCGTACTAGATTTCTAGATGGAGAGCAAAAATGTGCGAAGGTGTGTTAGTGGTACCCTGGTATTACATATGTCTTTCATCTCTGTGACTGGGGTTTGAGTACTCATGCCCTGGGAACGAGGTTGTTCCATTAAACTATAAATAAACTGGAAGGCTAACTCAGGGGGCGAAATTGAAGCCAGTGCATTTTAGTTTTTCTGAGTTATGAGCAGAAATACTCAACACTGAACGTTGGGCTATACAGGGTGTATAAAAAAAACTGAACATATTTAAAATTGCTCTCAATTTCGCAAAA